GCTGCCACGTCCTCTGCTACGCAGACGACACGGGCAGTGGTGGCCGAAGGGAAGAACTGGGAGGAGGCCCGCTTCCGCGCGGAGGTGGCAGTGGCATCGGTGGTGAGAACCATCGGAGACCTGGGTCTCAAGGTGGCGCCCCAGAAGACTCAGGCTGTGTTTCTTCACGGCCGGCGTCGGGCGCCGCCGAAGACATGGGTCCTAGTCGATGGCGTCCACGTCCACGGCGGGCCGATGATGAAATATCTCGGGCTGACGTTGGACAGCCGGTGGTCATTCGGGCCACATTTCAGGCCGCTGGCCCCCAGGGTGCGCAAAGCCGGACTGGCCGTGGCCGGGCTGATGCGTGCCCAAGGGCGCCCAGGATGGCAGGCTCGCCGCCTCTATGTCGGTGCGATTCTCTCGATCGCCCTGTACGGGGCGCCTATATGGCCCCTCAGCTGCTGGCCACCGCGGTAGCCAAGCGGCTAATGAGGTAGGCCCTTAGGCCCCTCATGATCAGGGCGACTCGAGGGTTCCGCACCGTGTCATACATGTCGGAGACCACCCTGGCCGGCTCCCCCCCTGCGGAGCTCCTACCCGAGGAGAGGAGAATCCTCTACTGGCTGGTAAAGGAGCTCCGCGAGGGGGGAGAGCTGACGGCCAGGGGCCTGAAGGCCCTGATTACTCAGGCCAGAGACCGGACCCTGGAACGGTGGGAAGGCTTGCTAGCCGACCCCCGAGAGTCCGGTCTCGCAACGGCCGAGGCTGTCCGCCCCTGTCTGTCAGAAATGACAAACAGGAGGGGGCGTGGAATGACCTTCCACCTGGTGCAGGTATTGATCGGGCATGGATGCTTCGGGAGATACCTGCACTGGATAAGGAAGGAGCCCACCACTCGGTGCCACCACTGCCCCGAGCAAGAGGACACGGCGCTGCATACCCTTGCTGCCTGCGCAGCATGGGATGAGCAGCGCCGGGTCCTGCTCGGGGCGGTGGATTGCCGCGACGGGGAGCTCTCGCTCCCGCACCTGGTGCGAGCCATGTGCGGGAGTTAGAGGGCGTGGGACGCGGCGGCCTTCTTCTGCGGGGAGGTAATCACCAAAAAGGAGGCCGCCGAATGGAGGAACCGGCTTGGCAAACGCCGTCGGAGAGGACGGCGGGGCCGGCTCTCCGCTGGGGGGATAGTAACAGCGGTCCCGTGGTGGCATCGGACGAGGGGAGGCCGTTAGCCTATACGGGCCGCCGGCACCTCGGGCAAGGCTCCGTCACTCGGGGGGTATGAGGAGGACACCTCCCGCTCCCCCGAGTGATCGGGTAGGGAGGAGAAGGCGAGGTGGGGAACCCGATTGTGCTCGGGCCCACCTCCCCAAAAAATCCTCCCCTCTCCTTTAGGAAGGGGGGAAAAGGAGGAAGGGTGGATGTCCCCTTCCTCAAGGTGACACCAGAGGGCCAACCAGGGTTACCCGCCGGGGACCGCACCTCTCCCACTAATTCCCCGAAAGGGGAAGGGGGAGTGCGGTACAAGAAGGCGAAGGGCTCTTGGATTAGAGCCCTGGGGCCGGGGGTTGGGGAGGGAATGCGGCAGCAGTTCCCCTAACTCCCCTTCTCACGGTCCGACAGGTAGACATCACGCAGAGGTTTTTGTCGGTAAGAGTCCGACATAAGCCCCATCCCTCCCCAAGGGGGCGGGGGTATCCATGATGGATTTCCTCTGCGTGAACAAAAAAAAGGCCGAGGGGGGTCTCCGAGGCGGAATCCATGGAGGTGGAAGCCTCTCCCCTCCTGGCGGAGGAGGGTTGGGAGGAGTGGGCGGCGTAGAGAGCATGATGTAGCTCTCCCCGCACACGCCCCCATCCCAGGCCCATGGGATCTGCCGGTAGGGTAGCGGCCATAGGCGGTCCCCCACTGGGACCCATGGGCCAGGTAGGAGCGGTCGGGAGTGGGCCGACCACTTGTGGGAACACCCCCGACCGCGCCAGGAGGGATTGCCTCCTCCCAGAGTGCGACCCCCGAGTCCGTTTCTGTTACGGAGGAGGGAGCCCTGGGGGGGAGACCTGCCCCCTGGGGGCGGCAGTTTCCCCCTCGGTTCCTCACCGAGGGAGGGGGTTTGGGGGGTGCCGTTGGGACCCTCACACACATTTTCCCCCGTGAATGCCACCTTGTCGTGGTGGGGGGCTTGAAGGTCCCAGTGACGTGCAGAGCTGTGCCGGCGGGGGCTTCGGCCCCTGGCAGGTCTACCATGCCGGAGTGGTCTGCACTGAGGGACTGGACTAAGAGAACCCAGGGTAGATACAGCGGGGTGGCCAATGGGCAATCCTCGACTATTTTATGGAAGAAGGGTGGAGACACCGTCCCTCTGACATTGCACGCCGGTGCTCCGGCAGTCGGAGGGGGAGGACTCCACCCTGTGGTAGGTCACCGTCCCCTAGGGCATTGCACGCTGGTGCTCCGGCAGCCCGAAGGGACGGGCCAGACTCGGGTCTGCACACCGTGAGGTTTGGGATCCTCACGGTCCCGGGATGAGCCCGGGGGATGGGGATCGCGTCATCCCTAAACCCATCCCTCGGGCAGCGGAGTTTGCTAGTCGCCGTGGGGGTGGGGTCCCTTCGAGTCGCGACGGCGGTGACCTTACTCCTTCCACGGAGCCCCCCGTGTGGCGGCGCTCCTGGCGGTGCCCTCGGTGTCGGAGACGAGGGACCCCCGAAACCGGCTCACCTCCCAGTAGGGGGGTGGGGCAGGAGTAGGGGGCAGGAGTCCAGTGCCCGGGATGTCTCCTCCCCGGGTCCAAGACATAGACCGGCTCCCCTGGGGTACTCGGGGACACAACTGAGTTTCTCCGTGGTGCGGGCATACCCGGCCGGTCGAGTCGCCAGGAGTAGTGGGATGACAACAGAAATGGCTGAGCAACAAACAAAAAAGGAAGGGAAAATGATGAGGAGGGGAAATGATAGTGAAGGGGGGAGTGTATCCTCGGGGACGGTGGAGGCATCCGAGGCGATGGATGCTTCGGCCGCCTCCACCGTATTGATGGATGAAGACCCGGCAGTTCCGGAGAATACGGAATTCGCCCGGAAGATTTGGGAGGGATGGGACCACTTACTGGATGTTGTAAGGAAAGGATGGGAAGAAATTCGGGAAGAGTATAAGTTAAACATAGATGGGAATAGGGAAATAAGAAAGGAAAGGTTTTTTGACTATACCAGGGAGTACGTCAGGAATATGTACCTGAATGGGGAAAAGATGCATAAGGAAAGAGTTCATCTAAGGAAAGATTTGAGGATGAGTCTGGAGTGGAGGAAAGAAATGGCGGAAAGAATTGACAATCAGGATAAAGAGAGGAAAAAAATAAAAAAGGGGAAAGACATCGGCGAGGCTACGCTAAAGGCTGTGAGGGAAGAGCTTAGGCTCGTCCAGAACCAGTTAGCCACATGCCGGGAGAAGGAGACGAGACCGTCTGTGAGGACTTCGTCCTCGCCAGGGCGTACAAACTCCTCGTATTTTAGGGGTGACGGAAATGATTAGTTCGCTTATTCTTTCGGTACGTAGACCGAGGGCAGCACAGTCGATTCCCCACTACCGCTCGTCGGATGCCATATTGGACACTTACTGTTTACCAGTTTTCTGGAGTAGTAGGAATTTTGTGTATTTTGTGCGATAGCAAGTGATAGCAAGTGATCATTAATTTAGTGAGAGGTGTTTATTTTCAGATTATTTGCAGGTTATTTATAGGTTATTTTCAGGTTATTTACAGGTTATTTACAGGAAAAAGAGCCAAGTAAAGAGAGAGAGCATGTGGAGATAAAACATTTCTAGTTCTGTAAGTAAATATTTACATGTAAATATGTAAATCGGTTTAAATTATTTCACGTTGTTCGTTGATCTTTCCTAAGGTCTCAGATAGCACAAATGTTTTAAACACATTTGACTTATATTAAAAGACATATTAAAAGCAAGACGTCTCTTTTTTATACGCTTTTAGACGTATCTTATTGTAGATCGATGTTAAGAGTGAGTGTATGAATGCTTATGTGCAGTGATGCACATATATGATGCAGGTTGTTAGTGCATCCAATTTCTTTAACCACACCAGGTATATGGCAGAAAAGTACCTGACAGTCCGCAGTCTGCAAATGGGACGGAAAAAATTTGATGCATAAAATTCATTGTAATTATTTTTCATTGAACTGTAAATAATTTCATTAAACTACATATATATACACCATTGTAACTAAAATAATATATATGTATAATATGTTTATAAAACGAAAATTGTATACTGCTTATTTCAATAAAATTTGCGAACCCTATTATACACACATACACACATCACAAAAAATATATATATTGAGTTGAATAATGATTAATTTCTTAGTTTTCAGATATAATGGAATAACTATATGTTATGTCATAATTTCATGAAATTATGTATGTGATATATTGAACTATTGGGTTCCTCACAAAGTGCTTGCGTTCATTAACATCATTGATTTATGTTAATTCTTTGTATAAAATTAAGTTTTGAAAATCACTGAAAAAACTGCAATGACTTTTTGAACAACTCAATATCATCTACCACCTCTCACATACATTGCTTCATGAAATTATAACATACAAGTATTGTTTAATTTTACCAAAAAAATACAAAATTACTTCCCAGATAGCATCGACTCTTCAGAGAATGTTCTTAGAACGTTCTTAAGATGTATGAATGTCCTTAGAATGTTCTTAAAACATCCTTTTAAGATTTGTGCTATATGGGTTATTACACGCTTAAAATATATATATATATATATTTATATGTAAGGCCTGTTCTTTTTCGCTGCGCTGCTGCACTGATGCAATAAGTTAGAATGAGAAATATATATTTGTTTCCCTCTAACTTATTGCATCAGTGCAGCAGTGCAATAAAAAAGAACAGGCCTTATATTTATATATATGTGTACTGGATTTAAATGTAGCGCGTATCCCCACTCTGTATCACGTGACCCATTTTAGTTCCACCAGTTCCGGTACATATCATGGTGGCGCTCCAAAGACCCTCGGTTTCTAAGAGGGGAGTTTTTACCCCCTGGTCCTCGCAGACGGACAAGGCAAGAGATGAGAAGAGATCCATGAGATCCTTTGTTGTGCAGACGGAGTGGGGTACATCGGAGTTGGAATCATGGGAAAGGGAAAGAGACGAGAGACCCTCTGTGGAGACGCAAACGGAGAGTTTTCCCTCTCCAGTTTTGGAGAGAGGAGTGGCGATCTCTGTCCCCCCCGAGAGGGAAGGGTTTGGGAGACGGTGGAGCACCGGAAAAAGAAAAGAAGGAAGGAGAGGGATCAGGCTGAAGCGGGTGCAGTACAGGTCGTGTCGGCTGTGCACCCGCCACAATCAAAGGAAGGGAACGCGGGGGAGAGGAGAGGAGGAGAGCAGAGCCCACCTCCAATCCACCCACCCGTGTTAGTAGGGGAAAGGAGTGGATAAGGGGGCGGATGGGGGGCACGAGGTCCTTTCAATTCCTCTCCACTCGTTGGGAAGGAAAAGTGGCCAAGGCTGCCCAGAACAGCGGCGATCACAATACGCTTGGCAGAAGGGGTCTCCTATGCAGAGGCTCTTCGTCGGGCGACGGATATGATTCCCCTCGGGGAAATGGATATCAGGAACCTAGACGTGGGGAAATGTGCCGACGGGGCGATTATCTTCCGGATCCCTGATCCTGACCCTGAGGGAAGAAAGGTTGAGTGGTTGACGGGAAAGTTAAGGGAGGTAGTACCGGAGGCGGTGATCAACCGTCCGGTCCAGAAGGGGGAGGTCCGCCTCGTTGGTTTTAACGAAGCGGCCTCCCCTGAGGAGGTTAAAACCGCCTGTTGGCGGTGTCACTCGACATCAAGAATGCCTTCAACACCCTGCCCTGGCCGGAGATTAGACGGGCCCTCGAACATCACGGGGTACCCGTCTAGCTCCGGCGGATCCTATCGGTCTATTTCGAGGACAGAGACCTCGCCTTCTACAAGGAGGGCGGGGTCCAAGGCGCACAATGAAACGCGGTGTTCCGCAGGGGTCGGTTCTCGGCCCCTTGCTATGGAACATCGCGTTCGACCGGGTGTTACGCACTCCGCTCCCCCCGGGTTGCCACGTCGTCTGTTACGCGGACGACACCTTGGTGGCGGCTGGGAGGAGGGCTGGGGGAAGCTCGCCTCCGCGCGGAAATGGCGGTGGCAATGGTGGTGAGTACCATCGCGAACTTGGTTCTCAAGGTGGCGGCCTAGAAGACTGAAGCTGTGTTCTTTCGCAACGGCAGTCGAAGGGCGCCGCCTGAGATACAGGTCCTGGTCGATGGCGTCCATATCCGCGTCGGGCCGACGATAAAGTATCTCGGCCTGACGTTGGACAGCCGGTGGGACTTTGGCCCGCATTTCAGGCAGCTGGCCCCCAGGGTGTGCAAGGTAGGTCTGGCCGTGGCCAGCCTCCTGCGCAACGTGGGTGGTCCGGACTGGAGGCCTCGCCGCCTGTACGTGAGTGCTGTTCTCTCTATCGCCTTGTACAGGGCGCCGATGTGGGCACCCCAGCTTCAGGCCTGCCGCGAAGATATACGCCGAATGCGGCGCTGAGGCCGCTGTCATCAGGGCGATCAGGGGGTTCAGCACAATATCGTACATGGCGCTGACCACCCTGGCCGGGTCCCCTCCCGTGGAGCTTCTCGTCGAGGAGAGGCGAGTCCTCTACTGGAGGATAAGAGAGATCCGCGAGGAGGGGGAGTTGTCGGCCGGAGACCTGCGGGCCCTGAAGTCCCAGGCCGTGGCCCGTATCCCGGAGACGTGGGGGGACATTTTGTCCCATGGGCCGTACCCATGGGGGTATGGGCGCGAGACGGCAGAGGCTGTCCGCCCCTGCCTGCCAGAGCTGGCGGGCAGGAGGGGATGTGGAATGACCTTCCATCTGGTGCAGGTGCTGACGGGCCAGGGTTGCTCCGGCAAGTACCTGCACCGGATAGGGAAGGAGCCCACCACCTAATGCCACCATTGCCCCGGGCTGATGGACACGGCGCTCCATACTCTGGCTGCATGTTCAGCCTGGAGGGGGGAGCGCCGTTTCCTGGCCGGGGCGATGGGTTGTGGGGAAGGGAACATCTCGCTTCCGCACATGGTACGGACCATCTGCAGGAGTGAGGAGGGATGGGAAGCGGCGGCCTCCTCCTGCAGGGACGTGATGTCTAAGAAGGAGGCTTCCGAGCGGGAGCGTCGATCGGTAACCCTGTGCAGAAGGCGCCGCGGCGGCCGACGTTCCCGGGGGTATAGGTAGCGGGCCTGAGGTGGCAGTTCCTCGGCCAAGGAAGAGGAGGGATCCCTGGATAGGAGGGGGATGCCCGTCAGAAGATCTCCAGACCGGTAAGATTGGGAGGTCTTCCGGCGGGATGAACGCGGTGTGGGTCCGATACCCTATTAAGGCAGCCCACAGATTAGTTAAAGCCAAAGGGCTTACGGTGGGATGGGCCAAGGCCTAGGTTAGGATCATAGGAGACCGCCCCAAGCAATGTTATAGGTGCTTCAATTTTGGGCAGTTGCCTGCCGAGCCGAAAGGCGAGGGGGCTGCTGCTTCAAGTGCGGGATGGTAGATCACATTTCACTAGATTGCACAGCGCAGCCGCGGTGCATTCCGTGCGAGGTGACAGGGAGAAATCCCCATCATAGGATGAGGGGGAAAGTGTGTGGGGCGGTTCCTTCGAGGGGGACCACACCCACATCAGGTGGGAAATCCCGGCGTCGTCGGCCCGGGACTTGAGCAGTGCATGGGACAAGCCCGCGGACAGCGTGTCAGGGGGGCCCAGACACCCTGATGACATTGCTCACAAAGAAATAAGGGATGAGCAAGAAGGAAAGGTAGGGTTGGGGGGAAAGGGGGAATACATCCTGCGCCCATATTTCAGGTAGGACCAGATAAAGGGAGTCCGGCCCCTCCCCCTGCACTGACTCCACTGGCCGAAAAGCCGATGGATCTTCTAGAGGAGATTCACTCAAAGGAGATGGAGATTGCCAACTCTCTCCTGGCGGAGGGTGTGGGATGAGTGGGTGGGGCTAAGTCCAGGAAGTGCTTTCCATTACTCTCCCACCCTAGGTTTAATGGGACTGCTGGTGGGCTGGGCTGATTCAAGGTCCCCCACCGGCGGATTATCGAGCGGGAAGGCGCCCTAAAGGCCCCTGGGAGCGGGGAGGATGGGCCGACCCCCTGAAAAGGGGACCATTTTCCTTCAGCGGTAGGGTGGGGAAATCCCTGACCCGGGGTGTAGCCCAGGCAGGGGATTGTATGATACCTCTATGTAGGGAGCCCCGGGAAGGGAAGATCGGCCTGAAAAGGCCGATTAGGTAGGGACCCCCTCGGTTCCTCACCGAGGGGGGGGTTTGTTTGGGTCCCTTCGTAAACCCCAACACACCTTTTTGATCCGGGGAGTCCGTGTTGATGTGGGGTCCACGATGAAATATCTTGGGCTCCACCTTGACAGCCACTGGAGCTTCCGAGTACATTTTGATAAGATGACAGACAGCCTAGGAAGGGAGGTGTCTAATTTTAGACGCCTTCTTCCCAACCTGGGCGGTCCTAATGATGGATGTCGTCGCTTTTATTTGTCGGTGGTGCAATCCATCGCGATGTATGGAACCCCTGTGTGGTATCAGCAATTGGCGGACAGTCGACGAGCACTGCAAAAGTATCATGCTGTGCAGCGCAGAGTGGCTGCCAACGCCGCGCGGGGGTATCGCACCATTGCATATGAGGCGGTGTGTATTGGCGGAGTCGTCTCTTTGGGAGTGGTTGCGGAGGCGCAAGCCAACACCTATTGGTGCAAGGCTGATCTCAGGGATCGTGGCATGCCACCGATAGATAGTGAGGTTGAAGGTCGGAGGCTCTAGGCCCAGCAGCATGTGCTTCAAAAGTGGAAGCTTCGTTTAGCTTTGGTTAGATGTGGAGCACGTGTTGTTGTGGCTGTTCGTCCAGTTATATCGGACTGGGTGAACAGATGTTATGGCGGACTTTCTTTCCGTCTGGTGCAGGTGCTCTCGGGGCATAGTTGTTTTGGGGTGTATCTGCACCGAATTTGTGGGAAGGGACCCACGCCAGGGTGTAGTTTTTGCGGAGATCTGGAGGACAGTGCGGTTGGGGTACAGGGCGGGGACTCCCAGTACTCCGACCAGCCCTGCGAACGTGGAGCGACTATCCGAGACGGTGGATCGGATAGTCGCACAGCAGCACCTAGGCGACGCCCCGTTTGGATGAAATGGTGGTCGAAGCGCAGGCCCTTTGGCCGGCTTCTTCCTTCTCATCCAGAGAGACGGGGAATGAGGGCTGGACGGAGAGCGGTGGTTGAAGAGGAGCTTCGGCTCGCTACCCTCTTCCCCCTACCTTTCGGGGAAAAGACGGAAGTCTATGCCTGGACTCGGGGCCTCGATAGCAGTTACGTAGGCTCCAGGGCCCCGAGGCAAGTCCCTTCGCAGCGCCACCTGGGGTGGTTTTAGCCGGTAGGAGTCCGGCATATCCCTGGCCCTTCCCCGAAGGTCAGGGTATCCATGATGGATTCCTCCTCGTAAAAAGAAAAAAAAGCTTGAAGGTCCCAATGATGTACAGAGCTGTAGCGGCGGGGGTTTCAGCTCCTGGTAGGTTCTGCCATGCCGGAGTGGTCTTTACGGAGGGACTGAACTAAGAATGAGCGCGGGCGGTGTGGGCCTAGGTAAGAAGTGGGGCAACCATTCATCGAAGCCCGCACATATACGCCCTACTGACAGGTCTCTCCTAGGAGTTTTAGTAGGTGCAAGTCCCACATAACCCCGGCCCTCCCCAGGACCGGGGTACCCATAAGGGATTTCTCCTGGGTGATAAAAAAAGGGACTGTACTAAGAGTGCCCGACCAGGCTGGATGATCAGTCTGGTCCGTGACCGGACTGGTCATAGAGCAAGTGGAGGGAGATTACAACCCCTGGAGGCATTACACCGGTGTTCCGGCAGCCGAAGGGGGTGACCTCCTTTCCACTTGCTCCAGGAAGGGAACATCTTTCTCCGAGGCATTGCACGCCGGTGCTCCGGCAGCCGAAGAGAGAGGACTCCTTGCCCCCAGCCCTAGCTGGGGGAAGGACGTACCCACTCCCAGGGCTCCATACCGTGAGGGGTGGCTCACGGTCTCTGGGAGGTGGAGGCGGCTCCGGGCCGCCCGGACATTTCCGAGGTCGGGGCCGAGGCACCCTACCGCGTCCTAAGAGGTCCCACCCTTGAAGGCATTGCACGCCGGTGCTCCGACAGCCGAAAAAGGGAGGACCTCTTTCCCTCATCCATCGCGGTCATGGCCGGGCGGATGGAGGATCCCACACCCGGGTCTACATACCATGGGGGCTGACTCCCTCATGGTACCCGGGGGGTGGAGGGGTGCTTCGAGCTGCTCAGACTTAGTCCGAGGTCGTAGTCGAGGCACCCTCGGGCGAAGAGGGGACAGGAACCCACCTTCGGAGGCATTGCACGCCGGTGCTCCGGCAATCGAAGAAAGTGGACCTTCCCGCTTTCCCTCAACCACTCGGCCTCGGTCGAACGGGAAGATGAACCCACACCCAGGTCTGCACACCGCGGGGACTAAACCCCTCGCGATACCTGGGGGGTGAAGGGGTGCTCTGGGCCGCTAGGACGTATTCCGAGGCGGGTTCGGGGCACCCTTATGCGCCATCTAGAGGATCCCACATCTGGAGGCATTGCACGCCGGTACTCCGGCAGCTGAAGGGAGCGGACCTCTCCCTCATCCGTCCCGGTCACGGCCGGGCGGAGGAAGGAACCCACACCCGGGTCTGCACACCATGAGGGCTTGGAACACTTCATGATATCCGGGGGGTGGAGGGGTGTTCCGGGCCGCTCGGACGTATTCCGAGGTCGGGGCCGGAAATCCTGTGTGCTGTGCCCGAGGCAATGCTATTGCATGACCCTAAAGCGGGCCCTCGGGCGGCGCGAGCACGCTGGCTGCCATGGGGGAGGCGTTCCTGGTGGGGTGCGACACCGGTAAAATACCTCCTTCCATGGGGCCCCCCACGTGGCGGCGCTCCGTACGGTGCCCGTATTGTCGGAGATACGGTACCCCCGAAAGCGGTCTGGCCACAAGAAATGGTGGTCAGGGCACGTGTAGGGGGCGGGAGGCCTGTGCCGAGGATAATTATTCCGCCGGCCCGCGCCATATGTCGCTCCTCTGGGGGAACTTGGAAGCTCCCCCCTTTACGGTGGGGATGCACGCCCGGGCGACGGAGCCGTACGGAGTCGTGGGTTCAAAAACGAAAATGACTAATCAACTTACAAGAACCACTCTCAACGGAAAAACAATAAAAACATTTATGGGGCTGACAATAATGTAACGGACCTGGCAATGGAGTGCTACAGGGCAGAACCGGGAACCTCCACTGGTTCTAAGGAGGGAACGGTAGTAGAGGAATCTACCACAGTAAGGCGCTTCAGCAGACGCAACGTGGTGAGGAGAGGAGGGCACCGAAGCTCCTCGCTGGAGACACCGGAGGAGAGGGAACTGAGAAGGACGCGATCCGAAGCCCACAGGAATGCTTCGAGGAAGGAGGCACCCTTCAGAGGCCGCTTCAGATCAAGGACGCCACTGAGGGAGGAGGTAACGACCTCACTAAGCACGTCTTCGCCGGAAAGGCTCCTAAGTGGGAACGAGGAGGAAGCCAAGGGGACGAAGAAAGAGCCGAAATCCAAATGGTCCATACCAGTCAAACCGAAAGGTGAAGTGGACATAGAAAAATTCAAGGAGAAGGCTCTGAGACCCCGTGGTAGACCAACTACCATCGGGGAATACGAAAAGGAAAAGGCATTCCTAGCTTTGAGATAGGAAGTGAAGGAACAGATAAGGGAGGAAAATTTACTCAAGAACTTGGAAAACCCTACGGAAATGTTGAAAGGCCTGAGTTTAAACAGGAAGTATAGGGAGGAGCTCAGGATACAGGAGGAAATCTTAGAGAACACACCATCAAGAGACCTGACAGCTGCAATGTTAGACGCAACCAAGAGGGTGTTGGGAATAGCCGTAAGGTAAAAAAATCTCAAAGGAACCTACATGAAGGTCCTGAGAGAGAGGCGTCAGCGGTTATGACCGCAGGACCTACCCTAGCAGGAAGAAGGATGGTGGCAGGTCAGCGGGAGTGCAGCAAAGTCCTCGAAGATGTGAGAGGAGAAAGTCGGAGACTGAGAAACTCCCACGAAGAACTCAGGAAGGAGATAGAGACGTTAAAGAAGGAGCAAAAAGCAAAAAGAGGCCGCAGTCCCGACATTTACACCTCCCACGATGTACGTAAGCGATGAGGAGATGGAAAGGGCGAGAAATAAAAGGAGGAAGGCAATACAACCGGCCAATGAAAGTGATGATGAGGAAGACATGCCGGTTGGAGCCATAGAAGTACAAAAGAACTTCATAAAGATCAGTCAGGAAGAACTCCACCCGATAGGAAGGAAAGGAACCCAAAAACCCGGGAGAACATCAGACCAGGTCCAAAGGTGGTCGCTAATGTCCCTCTCAACACAAGGGTAAGAGTGGAGAGGGAGAGGGAGAAAGAGGAAAGAGACACTCAGGAAACCCTTGAGGAAAGTGGTAAAGCTGGTCTTCCAGGCCATGGACGGGTGGCATAAGAAAAACGGCTCCGGACCAACTACGGAGCTTGCAAAGGAACAACCCCTTCCCCAAAGGCAAGTGAGGGAGAAAAAAAGGGGGGAAAGCTCGCGGTTGATAACAGGCAGCAACAAAACAGTGAACAACTACTGCAAAAACTACCGAAACAACAAAAGCCCCCTTTAAGGACAAGCAGGAAATCCCAACACCGGGTACAGAGAAGGAGAGTAGTCCGCAGCAAGTGATACCCTGGGCCAAAGTGGTGGGCAGAAAGGAGATAAGGAGGCTTAGGAAGGAAGAGGAAAAAAATGTCACCAGACCCCAACAAACATCGGAGCAGCAAAGGAAGGATAACAACGCGCAGAGGGCCCAGGGGAAAAAGAAATCAAAGAGAAGGGTGCCTCGTACTGCAGCAGTGACGATCACAGCACAGGAGGGGGAGTGTAAAGAAATACTCAAAGAAGCGAAGGCTATAATTAACATAAACAACCTGGGGATTGAAAAGCTAAATACCAGACAGGGAATCACTGGTGCATTGATATTGGAAATCCCCGGGGAAAATAGAAAGGAGCAGGTAAACGTACTGGCTGATAAGTTGAGAGACTTGCTGAAAGACAGAGCAAGGATTAGCCGTCCCAAAAAAATGGGGGAGATACAGTTGAGGGGCCTGGAGATCGCCACTGTGGAGGAGGAGGCAGCGATATCATAGCTAAGGAAGGTGAGTGTGACTCGAAAGAAATTAAAACAGGCAAAATAAAGGCCACACCCATAGGGGCTGGGACATTATGGATCCAGTGCCCATTACCAGCAGCGAAAAAGGTTGCGACGAAGGGCAAACTTATGATAGGTTGATTACAGATGAGGGCAGAGCTGCTGAAAGCCAGACACCTACAATGCTATAGGTATTTAGAAAGGGGCCATGTCCAGCAGCTCTGCACCAATGATGTAGACCGCAATGTCAACTGCTACAAGTGCGAAGAAGAAGGGCACAAGGCACGGGAGTGCAATACCCGGGCCAAGTGCCAAATATCTGCGGCGGCAAAATACCGTCAGGGGGAGGCCAGTTTGCCACCCCCGAGACATAAAAAAAAAGGGCGGGGTACTCCCGTGGGAAGGGAGCGGTCCACTGAGGGCAGAGCCACAGCCCAAGGTCCCGTCAAAGAAAAGGAGAAGGAGAAGACTCTTCCTCCACTCCATCCACTGCCACTCCCTCCTCTCTAACGCACGGGGAAAGGGGGAAGACATGGACGTAGAGAGAAAGGGGGAAAAGAGGACGCATCCCAGGGACGAAAGCAATAGTGACGGTAAGGGAAAGGAAGAACTAGGTGAAAAAGTCGTAGTAGTAGAAGAATCAATAATGGCTACCCGGCTCCTCCAAGCAAACCTGCACGGCGCCCGTCAAGCTCAACACCTATTTGAGCACACACTGGCTGAGCACCGTGCAGATTTGGGAATAGTGTCGGAGCCCTACTAAGTCCCCGACAACCATTCTAGATGGTTCGGGGTAACCAGGGCTCCGCCGCAATCGTATGGAGGACAACAGACAACTCCCCCCCTGCCAAACTGTTAGACAGGGGGAACGAATACGATAGTGGTCGGGGTGTACTTCCCCCCAGAAAAAAGCCTGAACCTGCAGAGATTTAGGTCCAGGCTCGACGAAATCGGGAGGAGAGTTAGGCCGCTCCTCCCGGAGCCTGTCATCATCGCCGGTGACTTCAAAGCCAAGTCGGCGTTGTGGGGGTACCGGCGGGGTGACAGGCGGAGGGAGAAAATAAAAGACTGAGCCGCGGACTTGGGTCTGTACCTGCTCAGTGTCGGGGATGAGCCGACATTCATCGGGCCGCAGGGGGAGTCGTTTATAGACTTTACGTGAGCCTCCCCTGCGGCCATTGGGTGGGTGCGGAGTTGGAGGGTGGCGGAGGAGATCGAATCTCTGTTGGACCATCTCTATATTGAGATGGAACTCTCCGTCACCCCGGTCTGCGACCTGTCCAAGCGGATGAACCCCGACCAGCCAAATGGGTAATCGGCAAACTGGACAGGTAGGCCCTTGAGGTCTCCCTTACTGCTGCCACCTGGCCTTCACGGGAAAAGGGGCAGGACCTGGATTCAGCAGTGGCTGAAATAATGGAAATTATCACTAAGGCATGCAACGCCGCAATGCCCAAATCCAGGTCCTGCCCCAGTAGGTCCGCCTGGTGGTGGAGCGAGGAGATAGCGGATCTTCGACGCACATCGCTCCACCTCAAGCGGGCCTACAGGCGAATTCGCAACAACGAAGAGTCGAGCCCCGAGGTCATACTGGCCGCCCGACACGAGTACAGGAGGGCATCCGATGCCCTCCATGCTGCAATAGGGGCGGCCCAGGGGAAAGGATGGGACAACCTCCTAGGGTTGGGTGCGGATCCGTGGGGGCGCCCATAAAAGATAGTTATGAAAAAGTTAAAACCATGGGCGCCCCCTCTGACGGAGATGCTTGACCCCCGGTTCATAATAAAGGTCATGGGGACCATATTCCCCGTCCGAGACAGGGACCCCATAGGCCCTTACAAACCCCCCCCCCAACAACAGGGGAGAACCAGGGATCACAGAGGAGGTGGCCGGGGCTGTCAAGAAAGTTAAAAGGGGCAAGGTCCCAGGACATGACGGTATCCCCGGCCGTGTCCTCACCCTGGACTCGGTGCAAATAAGGGACAGGCTGGTAGGGATATTCTCCTCAGCCTTTCGGGAGGGCGATTTCCCCAGTCTGGGGGAGGGCCAACGTGGTCCTCCTCCGTAAACCGGGTAAGCCGGAGGACTCCCTCTCCGCGTACAGGCCCATATGCCTCCTGGATGAGGCGGGCAAACTCTTTGAGCGTATCATCGCTGCCCGCCTCGTGGATCATATGGTCCGGGTAGGTCCGCAACTGGATGACAGCCAATATGGTTTCCAAGAGGGACGGTCGACAATCGACGCGATTCAGCGTCTTAGGTCCCTCTCGGAGGCCATCGTGAGGAGGAACAGGGTAGCGGTGGCGGTATCCCTTGACATCGCCAACGCATGCAAAACCCTGCCCTGGGTTAGAGTGGTCCAAGCCATGAAGGAGTACTTTGGTTTTCCACCTTACCTAGTGACTGTCATCCAAGACTCCTTCCGGAGTCGACGTCTGTGCTACAAGGACGCCGACGCCGTACGCGAGAAGGGGATGTCGTGCGGGGTTCTACAGGGGTCCGTTTTGGCCCTCCTCCTGAGGAACTTCGGCTACGACACAGTTCTCCGCACCGGGCTCCCCCCGGTTGCAGTATGATCTGCTACGTAGACGATAGACTTCTCGTAGCCAGGGGGAGGACTGAGGGGGCGCAATACGAGCGGCGAACCAAGCGGTGGCCTGCGTCGTGCGCTCCATACGCCAGCTGGGTCTGGTGATGGCCGAGAGGAAAACGGAGTCAATCTTCTTTCACAAGAAGGGAACTCGACCACCCCAAGCCCATTTGAGGGTCGGGAACGTCAGAGTCCCCACTGAGGCCCAGATGAAGTATCTGGGCCTCAGTGGACCTTACCTTGGACGGCACCTAGTGCTTTAAACAGCATTTCCAACGCCTGGTCCCCCGGCTAAGAGTAGTATCATCTGCTCTTGGGCGATTAATGCCCAATGCTGGAGGACCAAACAGGAAGGCGTGCCTGCTGCATGCAGGAATATTGAAATAGGTGCCCCTATATAGGGCGCCGGTGTGGGCGGAGGCCCTGGCCACCAGCCGACTGCTACAAGCCTTTCTATGAACAGCGCAGAGGATGCTGGCGGTCAGGGTTATCCGCCGATACCGAACAATCTCGCATGCAGCGGCGATGTTCCTGGCGGGTATGCCCCCTATGGAGCTCCTCGCCCTGATGTACAGGACAATGTATAAATGCAGGGGGGCGCTCCGTCTAAATATGGAGGCAGATGAGGCGCTCGCCGGGGCCATAAGGCGTGTAAGACACCAGACTCGACTGGTCCTCCTTCAACGTTGGTCAGGACGCCTGGAAGTTTCGAGGTATGAGAGGAGGACCGTCAAGGCCGCCCAGCCCTGTCTATCCGAATGGATAGACAGCGCACACGGGGATCTGACGTTCCGGATAACACAGGTACTCATCGGGCATGACTGCTTCGGTGAGTACCTGTGTTGAATACAAAAGCAGCGCACAACGCAATGTCACCACTGCGGACATGATTGCGACTCCGCGCAGCATACGCTGAAAGAATGACTGGCATGGGCAGCGGAGCGCGGAGTCGCAATCAATGAGCTGGGACAGGATCTCCCGCTCCCAGCAGTGGTCAATGCCATCGTCGGGAGTGAGAAAAAATGGGAAGCTTTTGCCACTTTTTTCGAGGCGATTATGACGCAAATGGAGGAGGCCGAACGCCTGCGAGAGGCGGAGCAGGGGCGTGGGAGAGTCCAGGCGAGAGAGCGCCGTCGTCGTCGCCGTTGCCAGCGACATGAGTCGGAAAGCAACGGCGGTGGCGGCGGCGGCTCCTCAAAGGAAGAGGGGATGGTGAGGGCGATTATGACCCCGTTACTCCCCTCCAACTGCACCACAACGTAAGGAGGGAACAAGGGTAGGAGTTACCGCGGTACCCCGAAGCCCAGCGGGAAGTCGCGGTGCCTCGAGAGGAGGAGCAAATAGGAGGGGGGATGGCTTTCCTACCCACTCCCAACTTCCGGTGTCAACGGCAACGGGGATAACAAGGCAGGGGACCGCATACCTGTCCCCTAGCGATCCACCGGCCCCCAGAAGGGGGCTAGGAGACAAAAGGGGGGAGTGCAAGAAGACGCATCGTCTTCTTCGTAAATGCCCCCAGCCTGTAGGACCCTCATGCACCGCATGGGAGTCAGTTAAAGAGGGGGTCCAGTGTAAGACCCTCCTGCCTGCTTCAGGTGAGAGTTGCCCGGCAGTTAGGGGACCAGATTTTTCCCTCCGCAGCGCCGGGCCGGAGGGTGGGGCTCCGGGCGGAGACTCCCGTGGCCCCAACCAGCCCTCCACAAGTAGGGACGACCAGGTGGCGGTGGCCTACCTAGTCGCACAATACCTTGGGCGGCGCCCCGCCTGGCTGGGAACGGCGATCGAAGCGTGCCCCTTGGCCGGCTCCCCCTTTCCCAACCACACGGGCGGAGCGTGAGGGGAGCAAGGGGAGCGGAGGTTGAAGATGAGCTTCGGCTCGCTTCGCCTCTCCCCTGGGGGAGCGGAGGTGGAAGATGAGCTTCCGCTCGCTTCCCCCTCCCCCGGCACCTCTCGAGGGAAAGGCGACGACATGATGCCGTCTGGACTCGGGGCCCCGATTGCAGTTACGCGGCTGCGGAGCCCCGAGTACAGTCCCTTCGCAGCGCTACCCGGGGAGGTTTTAGCCGGTAGGAGTCCGGCATAACCCCTACCCTTCCCCCAGGGTGGGGGTATCCATGGGATGATGGATTTCCTCCTCGTCACAAAAGAAAAAGAAGTAAAATGGTAGTTCTCCCCTGTGGGCGCTACCTTGACGTGGTGAGGGAACTTGAAGGTCCCAATGACGTACAGAGCTGTACCGGCGGGGGTTTCGGCCCCACTTCTGCGACGGTCGCCACCTTGTCGTTGTGCAGAAGCTTGATGGCCACTATAATTCAAGGTGATGGACACGACTTGGAATCTTAGGATTCCAAGTTCGAGGGTGAACCGAGGAGAGTGGCTACTAAGAGCGATCAGCTCATCCCTTTTCTAGGAAGGGGATGGGAAACGGGCGATCGGGCTTGTCAGTCTGTAGCCAGACATCGAAAGAGGGGACGGAAAACCCATTGGAAAAATTCGGGCATCAGGCTCGTTAGTCTTGGAGGTTGCCAGACAATCCGACGAGGGGAAGGACACGCACTGGAAAAACCCGGGCTAGTGGGCTCGTTAGCCTCACGGCAACCTATTCCGGAGAGGAAACTCCGGTATCAAACCCGGGCGAGGGCTCGAGAGCTTGACTTCGTGGGCAAGCAACCGATGTGAAGGGGAGGAAGAACCTCAATACAAAACCCGGGTATAGGGCTCGTTAGTCTGGGAGGTTGCCAGACAATCCTACGATGGGACGGAAAACTCACTGTAAAAACCCGGGTTAGTGGGCTCGTTAGCATTGAGAAACCTATTCCGGAGATTGGAAACTCCGTTAACAAACCCAGGCAAGGGCTCGAGGGCTTAACTTCGTGGGCAAGCAACCTATTATTAGGGGAGGAAGAACCCCAATATCAAACCCAGGAGTGCGGCTCGTTAGCCTGAGGGCACCCGCATCGGAGAGAAAAGTCCGCACAATCTGGGCGTTCGGACTCGTGAATCTGGCAGTCCAGGCACCTGAACTAGCGGGAAGAAAAAACCCTGACTAATAAACCCAGGCGATCGGGCTCGTTAGGCCAGCGGTGGCAGTCAACCGAACCAGAGGAAGGAAAACCCAATGCAAAAACCCGGGCGTGTGGGCTCGTTAGCCCTCGGGCAACCCCAACAGGGAGAAAAAACTGACAAAAACCTCGGGCACCTCAGGTTCCTGGGGGCGGCGTTTAGTCGGCAACGGGGAGCAAGCGCTGTTGCGTACCCCCTGATCCGTTAGGCCAATGTCCTTAGGAGCTAGGAGGACCTTCGGGTATCGGGGGACGGCGGATAGTCGGCAACGGGGAGCAAGCACTGTAATGCACCCCCTGATCCGTCAGGCCAAAGTCCTTCGATGTTTGGGAAGCTCGCTCGATGGGGGAGTCTGGAGTGCCTACAGGGTGACGGGGTGAGCTCCACAAGGGTGTAGAATGGCATAGTCATCCAGTATGAATGTGTGTGGGGGGTGGGGAATCCGGAGAGGGCAGGTGACGGCATGGTATCCTCGAAGGGATGGAGCTGAGGCGAAGGCGGACGGGGCCGTCCCGCAGCAGTACCGGAGAGGATACATACACCGAACGAATCAGCCTATACAACCTCTGAAAAAGGGTTTTTCTGGATGCCGGGTGGGCATTCCTTGAGGAAACTTGGGGGATGCACTCATCGGTGTCCCAGCCTCACCTTTACGAGGGTGGCCGTTTGATCCGCGGACTGGCGGGGCTGTGATGTGGGGAGTGGAGCCGGTCCGCTGCCCACGGCCCGATTGGCCGTGGTGGTAACCCTCATTCCGCAGTCCTGCATGGTCCGTAGATAAACTGGTATGCCTTCGGGCATTAACAATGAAGCGATTGGGTTCGGGTTGGACAAGATCCAGCCCTCAAACAACTGTAATCGCAGCACCCGGCAGTCGGCAACTCTGGGTCAACACACTCGGTGATCCTGTCGGAGTGTAGGAGCACCCCTGGTGCGCAGAGGCTGGAGTGACCGAAGGCCACTGTGCATAGGGTCCTTTTATCACAGTATTGCCATGAGTTTGTGTCGTCAGACGAATTGGCTCCTATGTGGCGAGCACCTCAGGGTGTTGGTCGCACTCAGCAACACCGGTCGCGCTGGATTTGGCAGGGTCGGGGTGCGGTGCGCGTTCCGAATCTACTTCACGAGTCAAGTCAAGTGATCAACGAAAGAGGCATCGCCTCGCCCGTCACTTGTAATATATTTATAACCCATGACGAAATGTCGTGAGATACACGAAATATGATTTCCCGACGTGGCTGGTCGCAATGTTGAACTAGCGTCAAGAAATACTTGAAATGCACGAAACAATGGTACACAAGCGAAGAGGTGTCAGAAAGAATACACGGGTAGCCAAATGCCTCGTCATTTGATCAGTGACGCAAAAGGGGTAAACTAGATTTATACCCATCATCCCATCTAGAAGAAGAGTAAACTTCGAACAATTGAACGACCAATGGCATAAGTTGCAAAACAATGGCTCAAATTGGAAAAAACATGGCAAAACGAAACAATCGCTTAAATATGATGGCTCAAGTGCAATTGCTCACACTTCACAATTGAAGATGTTATAAGGAAATCGCAAAACTAAGCTATAGCATCCAAGGAAGAAAGATAGGAAGACGGGGTCTGGTCTGCAAGAGCTTGCCTGCTCGTAGCCGGACACCCTACCAGTTGTCTCTAGGCATGCATATACACAGAAGAGGGAATGACAGTCATAGGCTTGAAGAATTATGGTGGACCCTAACGAAGGGACCGTTACCCACACCTTTCTCGGAAAGCCGCAGCCAGCTTCTGTGTGTGCGTAAGAGATAACTGAATGGCGCGAGAGCCAAGGAAGCGGAGGGGTAACCCGAGAACTAGCTCGAGCGCCATGGGAAGTTACGTTCCACAATGACTTTTCCCACTCAGGTATTTAACGGTATCTGCCTTCCATACGAAATTCGTATATAATATCAAATATATCTAATATGTATGAGCAATACATTCCTATCAAAGAGCCTCGTAAGAATTGAAAAGCAACACGCCGCAAATGGACTTACAAAATAAACTCTGACTCTGAATCAAAGGCATGCTACCCAAAGATATTCGAACGAGCTTGCAGGGAGTCATCACACGAATGATGGTCTCCACGGCAAGCGAAAGTCTACATTCAGGATGAATAACTGAGCAGGAGATGATATGTCTGACCTCGAAGTATACAGCAAAAAACATGGCAATAAACTACGGAGCATGTATACACTGACGTCCTAGGGCAAAGCACAAGTACGTTGATTGTAACCTAATGCACCAAATGGAGATAAGAGCTGAGATCTCCAAGTGTACAATACGTGTGCATCGAACGAAGTCCAAAAAGACGAAAATCCCACATGGCAGGGGCTGTCAGATTGAGAAAGTAAAATGCCCCAAGACACGATGAGCAGTCAAGCGTCCAAAATAGCAAACGATGCTGTGGACGTCAGAAAACTCACCAAAAGCAGAGAAGCGAATCTGGAGACGATCGGTTTCGGCTGGCGTCCTACGGACCGCTATTACCATGCGTGGCATGGAATGGGGCAACCTGGGCATAGTCCTGGGGCCCCAAGTCACATTAAGGACTCTGCCATACGTGCGGTACTCGTACGAGTGATAAACTGACGCCCAACGCAGCAAACAACTAGAAGCTATAATTGGAAGACAGCGGAGCGTGTTCAAACAGAGACGCGAATCTGGGGAAGATCGGTTTCGGCTGGCGTCCTACGGACCGCTATTGCCATACGTGACATGGAATGGAGCGACCTGGGCATTGCCCCGGGGCCCCACGTCACGTTATGGACTCTGCCAGGTGTACCGTGACATCCATGGGACTCAGTCGAGAACTCCCCTACAGCCAAACAAGGAGATCGTTAGAGACACTGCCTAGGTAAACGAAGGTAGGCTCACGCACTGTTGAAACAAGAGTCGCGAAGCGAAACCCAAGTCTTCCCATTGCGATGCAACGAACCTGATTGTCTCGGCCTGGAAAACCGAACACACATGAGTAGCGACTGGAGAAAGACGAACGATCGAGACAGAAAAGTACCAAAATCGAACAGGCAAACAGCTTTGTAGACCGCTCTAGGTACAATGTTGGGGCCGGGTAAATCCTGATATTCGTAATTTGAACTTGTCCCAATGCTAACGTTCGGATCGCGCTGATTGCTGAATGACTGTGGGGACGGTAAACATGCACAGTCGCTAGCAGCCCCCCGGGAAGACTACGGTCGATCCGTGGTCGGACGACATTCTCAAGCTACGGTGAAGGAAACGCGCCTAGGGCTGAATGGCTGTGGAGATGATAAAAATCACAATCTAAAGCGCTCCCCTAGAGGTACCTGTCGACCCCTCTGCGGTACCCCAGACTTGATGGCGCAATGGTGGCTCTGCGTTAACAACTCCGCAAGAGAAAAACCTGTAGCCTCATGCCTTGACGACCGACAAGCTAACATGCACAAAGGAATCCATTTATCCCAGTCTCTTTGATTTTCTGCCACGAATTTTGACAGATAATTCAAAACTGTCTGATGCTGGCGTTCAACCTGACCATCGGACTGGGGATGTAAGGCAGTTGTTCTAATCTTCTTAATTCCCAACAAACGAACAATTTCCTGAAAGACTTTCGATTCGAAATTTCTCCCCTGATCAGTATGCAATTCGCATGGCACGCCATACCAAGAAACTATTTCATAAACAAAAACTTCCGCCATCGTCTTAGCCCCACTATTTTTTAACGGAAAAGCCTCGACCCATTTCGTAAAACAGTCTACTATTACCAGGAGAGAACGATTCCCTGAAGACGAATATGGAATAGGACCCAAAATGTCCATCTGAATTCTTTCAAATGGAGCACCGACATTGTAAATTTGCAACGGAGATTTACCCTTCCAGAGGGACCCTTTCTTGCATTACAAATATTACAACTCCGACACCAATTTTCCACATCTTGCTTACACGAAGCCCAATAAAAACGTTTACGAATTTTATCCAGAGTTTTATTGATCCCGAAATGATCTCCTGTAGGCGTGTCGTGAGCAGCTCTCAAAATTTGTTCTACCCGACTACGAGGAATTATAATCTGATCAATAACGAGTTTAGTATTTGGAGATTCCCACCTCTTATAAAGAACCCTATCTTTTATCAAAAGAGCATACCAATAGGAAAAATAAACCCTGGCCGAAGATTCAATACTGACCAAGTCCTCACGAAGTGGAATTTCTCCTTTTTCTTTAGCACGCAAAAGTACAGAGACCACTGAATCCTCAAATTGTTCCTTACGCCACTCCAGAACATCTTCCTCCAAAACTATTCGAGCTATTAAGCCTTCCTCACTGGATTCCTTTCTAGCTTCCACCTTATCACAATATTGCAGCCATTTCGAGAACATGGCCGTCTAGATAACCCATCTGCATTTTGATGCAATATTCCCTTTCGATACACTATCCGAAAATCATACTGCTGCAATCTCTCAAACCTTCGAGCTAGTTGTCCTTCCAATTCCCTAAAAGAAGTCAACCAATGTAAAGAATTATGATTAATCCTAACCAAAAAATTCCTAATGTATAAATAATGATGGAAAGACTTTATAGAATTAACTATTGCTAATAACTCCCGACAGGTCACACAATTTCGTTCCGATTTATTTAAAACCTGACTAAAATATGCAATAACCCTTTCAACCCCATCTTGATTTTGTGATAAAACTGCTCCTATCCCGTGATTAGAAGCATTTGTATCCAAAATAAACTCTCCCGTTTCAGAAGGGAAACTGAGCACCGGAGAAGAAATTAGAACCTGCTTAAGACCATCAAAAACTTCTTGACTTGACTTTGTCCAAATAAGTTTTTCCTGACTTTCAGTCAATTTATAAAGAGGCTTTACTAATGTTGAAAATGCCTTAATAAATTTCCGATAATAAGAACAGAATCCCAAAAAACTCCGAACTTGCTTCTTGCTCTGGGGAATCGACCAGTCTTTTACCGCAGAAATCTTTTCAGGATCTGTAGTCAATCCTTCCTCAGAAATAATGTGACCCAAATACCTAACTTTTTTACAAAAGAAAGAACAATCTTTAGGATTAATTTCCAAATTAACCTTACTTAAACAAATAAATACCTCTCGTAAGTTTTTCAACATTTCTTCAAAAGTTTTGCCAAAAATAATAACATCGTCTAGATAAACCAAACAAATTTTATGAAGCACCTCCCGAAGAACCTTTTCCATTAATCTTTCAAACGTAGCCGGTGCATTACAAAGACTGAATGGCATCACTGTAAACTGCCACAAACCATTTCCAATCGAAAATGCAGTCTTTTCCTTATCTGAAGGACGAATCCCAACTTGCCAATAACCACTCTTAAGGTCTAGGGTACTGAACCAAGAATTACCCTAAAGCTGATCAAGGATATCATCCATCCTTGGTAAAGGATAACAGTCCTTAACAGTAACTGCATTCAATTTTCTATAATCTACACCTAAACCTAAAACCTAAGCGAACCCTCTCTCTTCCTAACCATGACCGCAGGAGAAACCCAAGAACTTTGCGATTTTTCAATAATACCCTGGCGCTTCATATCTTCAATAGTTGATTCTACCTCCTAACGCATATGAATTGGAATTCGCCTAGGAGTTTGCTTAATTGGCCTAGTTCCAGAAACATCGATAGAATGCTCAAAAATTTTACAATTCCTAGCAGGAACGTCTTCTGCAAAAATGTCTTGAAAATCGCCTAAGAAAGAAGCAAAGATCTCCTTCTGCGGAACATCCAATCTTTCCGAACTATTTTCAAAAATCTCCTGCAGAAAAACCGGAACCTTACTTTCCGAAATTACACGAGAATAAATAAACATCTATCATTCCGGCCGAACCTTGCTAGTAAATTCTTTTTCAAAAATTTCTTCTAATTGAATCTTCTTTAAAAAGTGGACACCTAAAATACAATCATCAGAAATGTCAGCTACAAAGAAAGGAAATTCTACTTTATGCCTACCTACATCTACTCTTGCAAGCACTTTATAATACACTATTACCTCTTCCCCAGTCGGATATTTTAGAAAATAATTTCTAACTGGAAAACGCTGTCTATAAGTTTTTACCAAATTTCCACTAAGTAAAGAAATATCGGAACCTGTATCAATTCTAAAATTA